TTCTAACAAAAAACTTGTAAATCTCATTTGATGATTTAAATAAAGCACTGATTTGAATATTTGATCGAATGTTATAAATCCATAAGATTTCATTTCAATAACGAAGTAAATGTAGCGAGATGTCAAAGTTCACGTACAAAAATTTGAAACTGACTAATACAGCTAAAATTTTTAGTTAAGAAATATTAGCAAATCCAGCTGTCACAATAACACGCTACGTAAAATGTAGGCATGAAAAGTGGATTTACCATTCAAACAAGCAATTTTTTTCAAAGACAAAAATTCTGATTGATAATACACAATTCAGAATACACAATTTTTGAAAACAATTTTAATTATAGTAATCAGGCGATTATTAACGATCTAACGTTAGCAAATTGTTTCACGTGTAAGATTCCTTGCACATATTGGCTTCAAGTTTACGCTTCAAAAAGTATTTATTAATAATTGTTAATGTAGATTAATATTTATAAAATTGGTAAATATAAAATGAAATAAATGAAACTAAAAAAAAGGGTTTAAACAAAAAGCATTATCTTAACAAGTATTACAGTAATTACAAAGTTTTTTCACTTCTACACTAACTTACCTGTCAGTTCATATATTTTTGAAATTTTATTTATTTTTTCAAAACTTTATTCAAACCATAAATGCTAAAAGATTTATAATCCAACTTTTTGACTACTATAATACTTGTTCAAGTAATCATAACTTTTTTGGCTTAGCAATATAATCTTCGTGCAGAAAAAGATTATACGCTTGAAACTCAATACTTGTGGCTATTTTTGCATATGACAACTACAAATATCCAAATATACAACAAGTAATTCAAATATTAATTCTATTCGATTATCAGACATGCTATGATGAATATTTTATTTATACACGCTTGACCCCAAAACGTGATCTTTCTCTTTGTATGTGCAAAGCAAAACTTTGACCTTTTGATAAAATGAAGAATTCATAGCGTTTAATGTGTGAATGATATAAATCCTTTTTTCATGCATTCAAACTTCTAAGTATAAACTCCTTGACAATAGTCTAATCTAAACAAATGTAAAACCAAAAACTAGCTAATTCCGTTAAAATCTTCTTTTTGCTTACAACTGCACGAAAATCAAAAATAATTACAGCAATAATGTAACAAAAGCGTATTTTTTGCATCTAAAAGCTATTTTACTGGAAAAGTTTGAAAATTCAGAAAAAATAAAAGTGCTTTTTGCATTTGTTAGCTTTCAAATAACAAGTATTTCCAATGATAAATCCTCGCTATCAATAGCATCTGTTGCTGCGATCTTTATTTTTTCATTTAAATTTGTAGTTAATTACAATAATAGGAATCACTGTAAGCTACAATAGTTAGCATTTATTCTCACTACAGGTAGCTTATCTGCTTCATACTACTGAAACTCGAGTGCCATTGTAATGTGTTTAATGGTATATCTTTGAAAATTTGAATATGCAATGCATAATTTCAACAATATTACTTGCTAGAATCCGATTTTTAAAAACTGAAAGCGTTAAATACTTTAATCCACAATACCATAATTTGTTACAATTACAGTAATACAACTGAAGCTATAATAAATGAACTAATTGGCATTATTTGAGATTAATATTGTTATTTGCAATTCCAGTAAGCATTTACTATTATTTGTTAGTATAATAGACTTTTTAAGTGTTATATGCCATCTGAAAGAAGTGAAATAATATTAACAAAGGACTAGCTGTTTTCGCTAGGCATCTCAATATTACTCGACTATTTTTGTTTGAATCGTCAGCTGCTTCCTTCAGAACAAATGAAAAATTCTAATACTGTTAGAAAGAAAACTCATATTTTCTGACATAAATGCATTTGCTGTATTTCAGAAATATGATTTAGCAAGTCTGTTAACGACTAAAAAACGTAATAAGCATCATCAAGCAAGTAAAGTAAGATACTTTTGCAATTTGTAATGTGATGAAACTTTTAACGACTGATTGATAAGCAAACACTTAAATTTTATACTAGGTTATAGGTTTAAAATCAGATCTAAAAAATTGAAGAACTGATTGCCTGAGATCAATCACTGAACTTAGATTTAATTATTAATGCATCTTTTTAAAGCTTCAAAAGTTCAATCATATCATTCATTGCAGTAACGGTTTGCTGATGTTAAGTTGATATTTTTAAAAATCACAAAATTCACTTTTGGAAGGCACTAAATGTTCACTTTTGCTAAGATAAGAAAAATAATAACGTAAATTAACCTATGACCTTCTTGATTTGTAGTAATAAGCAATACTCTTAAGTAAGAAAGGTTGCATTTTGACTACAAAATTTGCTACTAACTTCGATAATATTCTTTAAAGACATCTGAAATTTTAACGAATCTTTAATACAAAATTTATTAATATTTTTAATTAGCGTAATGAGCGAGCAAGAAATTAAAGTGTGTTTTTTGCAATTGTACAGCACTTTGTTGATAAATATACAAAATGGTTAATAGAATGAGGATAATAAGCATTCAAAACAACACAAAAATGTATAAATACCGCAATTCTGATGGCAAAATTCTTCAATTAAAAATCTGAAAATAAAACTCAATTCGTCTTTTCAGATTCACCATGCTTTATAATTCAGCTTGCAATAAATTAAAACACTTACTGTCAAATATTTCAGAGACGTGAGTACACTTGGAAAACTCTTCAAAAATCGCTTTACCAAATAAGTTATTAGCAATTATTATATAAAATTTGTTATACGCTTGCTAAAACAAATGAACCAAAGGACTAACTTACGAAAAATCAGAGCTAAAACACTTTTCAATAAACAATTACTCTTAATTCATTACTAAAATTTAATAAATAATTATTGTTTGTTAGATCGGCTCAATTTTAAAATGCGAAATGTATTACAGTTCAAAATTAATGAAACTCCCTAAATCTGATAATATCGCATTCATATTTATCAATTCTTCATACTACTATAAAAACAACTGGAAAATTAGATTAACATTTGTTTAGCGTGGTATGATCTCATCTTCCTTGATATGACTGATATGATTACAACTGACAGATATGATCAAATTTTTCAAGATAATAGCAAACACAAATAATAAAGCATAGAAGTGAATTTTTGCATGCAAAAACAAATTTTCTAAGCAACTGACACTATTACAAATGATAATACAATACAAACAAACACTACATCTTATAAGTGAGAGCATTTACAGAAATAATTCAAACAACTGTAAATAATAAAAAAGGCGAGAAAGTGCGAACATAATGCTATAATTCTGATTGAATACATTTATTACATAGAATAATTCAAGCAAAAGTGATGAAGTACCAGATGCGATAGTAGTAATAAATTGTAAAGCAAATAAGGTGAAAAAGAAAAAAGCAGATATCAGTTTCAAAACATGAAGGTTAAGGGTCAGCGGGTATTTAAATTTGTATATCACAATTTTCATACTTCTTGGCTACATTTAGCGGCACAATTCTTTCTATGCGTCAGTTACTCAAAAATATAATGAGTTCAAGTTATAATTAAAATAAAACTTGAAATATTAACTTAAATTTTGACAAAAATAATTATGATTTCAATTTATTTCCCATTTTATAAAAGATCATAATTTGTTTTGTATTAAATATCCATATTCATAGCTTCTAAACTTCAGTCATTTGTTAGCATATACTACACTTTTATTGAAGAATACTTTTGAATTAAATAAGCAAAAAATGAATCACAAAAATGAAGAATGCAAAATAAGACACTGACATTAAGTAAGGAAAATATTTGATACAGTAAATGCATGACCTTTAACTTTTGTCTCAAATTGAAAAAACATATTGGAATTCTAAAACAAACAAATACTTTCTTTCTAGTAACAATCAAAACAAGAAAAGCACTAACGCTATCTTATCTTCATAAATACTGATAAATATAATAATCTAAAAAGAAGTTAAACTTTAGATTTTGTTATTTTCCATTCGCTTTTTATGCATAATATCACCGATTTTATTGACTTCATAAACAATCACTTACTTTAGTAAAAAATTGCAGCATTTAGATTTCCCAAAAACAACAAGGACCAAAATTATAAAAAAGAAAATTAAAATGCAAGGCAAAATGTGATTTCCCGATTAATTCTTCACCGGTAATTATTGTTTTGCACCGATAAATTGATAGCAATAATAAATAACCAATAATTCAGTTTCATTTTTTGCGTGGTTTATTAGCTTTGTGAATTAATCAAAACTAGTCTATTTTTACGGCACTTTTTTCTAACTTATAACAGCTCATTAACTGCAATTACTTGAAAATTCTAAAAATTTACACATATTTTCATGATTTTATTATCTTCAAAAGCTACTACTTTAAAATACTCCGATTCGCAAACTTAATAAGCAAATTTATTTCAGCTACATCCTTATTATAAAAGTTAATGGAAAGTACTGGATTATATCAATCAATTTCAAATAACTTATATTAGCTAAACTTTGTTGCGTTTTTAAAGAGTTTAATAAATCTCAAGCTTTCAGTACAAATAGTAAAGTAAAATATTAGTTACGCTATATTCCCTATGATGATATTCGTGCATTTTAATTAAATATGAAACTGTCAACATGATTTAAAAATGACAGGAAAAATCAGGATATGATCAGGCTGGGAAAAATCCGTCATTAACAAACCGTTGTTCAAAAATGAATAAATGACTTATTTGTAGACTATTTTACAAATTAAGTCATACAAAAACTTGTAAATAAAATCAAAATTATAGAAATGTATTTGATATCGATTGCAAAGTCTTACTTAAAACCGAATATAATAGTAATAATAATTATTATTACTGTCATTAACAATAATAATAATTAATTATAATAGTAACGTACAAAATGATGAATACAAAGCTTAGTCTTACACCGATAGCAGAGAAATAAAGTTTGACTGCACTATCTATTTTAATGCTAAATTGAAAATAATATACAAATAAGTGCATAATAATATTGCAAATTCACAATGTTTCAAAGCTTCGACCCTCACCAAGTGGAGTTGTCATACTTGAAAGCTGGAATGCTGTTGCTTGTGGTAGATGACATGGTGTTAACCCAGTTGGACCATCCAATAAATTCACACCAAAATCACCCGCTAAAAGTTGTTTTATTTCTAATAGACTTTATATCAAAATTATTAGTACTTAACATGTATCAAAAATTTTAGAAATTAATTAATTACCTCGGTAAAATCTGATAGAGTCTACTAAAAATAAAAAGATAAACTCAAGAATATACCGGGACTTTTTTAATAATTATAACCATTATTACCATTTTACAAGAAAATAAGCTTTAAAAAAAATTTCAAATGTAAAACATTCATACTGTATAAGCTTTTAGCAATAAACTACAATCTTATAAGTAAAAAAAAGCTAAAAGAACGGTATATTTTAATACCAAATATTGCTTGCTAATTTTTAGTGCTCAATTATGTAGTATATTCATTATTACTTTTAAAAATATCTGCACATTATATTTTGAAAAATTTTGCTAATTTTACAGGAAAAGCTTACATCCGCCAATTAAATTCGATGGTGTTGTGATAGGAACACCAGAACTGCTTAGTGAACTATAAGCTGATGTTGTTGTAGTACTATCAGCAAATGATAATGACGTCGGACGCTTAATTTCATCGTCAGGTAAATCACGCCCATTTACATCAAATAACGTTGGCTCTTGCTTGATCTGCAAGCATAAGACTGTAATAATGAATTTTTAGATTGACTCACTTTCTTAAAATTTCTTTTCATTACATTTTAACACAAAAATTCTATGCAAATTTTTACCATTCAAAAGATATCAACAATATAAAAATCGTATACACTTTAAGCATAAAGTAAGCAGCGCAATTTCGCCAGATAGTAATTTGATAAAAGCTAAAATTATTTAATTTAATTTAGCCCAAATTAGTACTATCAATTTATTGTTTTCTACTACATCAACGACCAGCTTGTTATCGAAATACTTTTTGCAATTTTACAATAAGAATAATCACAAAAAATAGTATTCATGAATAAAGTATATGATTGGAATAAAGTATTTATCTATTATGAAGATCTGCTTGAAACTGTACAATTCTGAATCTTATTTTTACACTTATCAGCTAAGTACAAGCACAATCCAATTTACACATCTAAAATAGATTATCTTAGATAATAAAAGTATAATTATCTTCTATAATAATCGTGCCTGATAAATTTTACCTTAGATAATGACAGTATACCCGTAGCAGTTTCATTCACTGACTGCTGTGATGTTTGCCTCAGATTCGGTATCATTTCAGCAGCTGCTCGTTTTCGATTACTCAACATAGGTTGTGGTGATGGTGCTGATGTAGCGTACACTTCCATATCTGTACTCGTTGGTACATTTGTTACCGATGACTGAGCACCACGTGGCATATACTGTTGAGTACTCGACATATCTACATCTAACGTTTGACGTAATGCTTCTGGTAAAATACAATGATGATCGCGGATTACAGCGATAAGCTCATTTTTCTGCAATAATTTACATAAATACTCT